GTCTCTTCACTCTGTGCAATTCAGTTTTCAATGTTCCCTTATTAAGAGACTATATAATCACAGCAGTCCCCTTGCTTCTTGGATCTTCCAAAAATATGTGTCCCCTTGGAAACCGCCATCTGTGAAGTCCACCTCCTTTTGGAAGAAAGTTTGTAGTGTTGCTCATGTAGCTAAAGAAAAATTCATTTTCAATCCAACTAGCAAGGCCCCCATTTCCTTATATTGGGATCATTGGTGTAATGGGGTTCAACTTCAGGATTTGATTGGTGAGCATGGGATCCTTAATTATTTCCCTGATAACTCTCGGATTTCTGCGATACTCAATGATACTGGCTGGTTGTTGCCTCCTCAGTTCTCTTCCTCCTTGCTGTTGGCTTTTTCTGGGATTACTGTAATGGGGAATGATACTCCCTGTCTCACTTGGGATGGGGAAAATGGCAATGCTCATAGCAATTATTATAATTTTCTTTTGAAGAATGATTTTATGTGTGATTGGCATCAATTCATATGGCATAAACGGTATTGTCTGAGGTTTTCTTGCTTCGGTTGGATGGCCCTGCGGGGAGGACTAAAAACTGTGGATGTGCTCAATTCTCGAGGCATTATTGTTAACACCTGCTGCACCCTATGTCTCAAAGATAATGAGAACATCTCACACCTTTTCTTTGAGTGTGATTACTCCTTTTTGGTTATCTCTAATCTCCTTCCCACCATGGCAAATCATCTTTTTAGGCCTAATATTCTGCAGACCTTTGAATGCTTTAGTCATATGCAAGGGAATTCAAAGCCTTTTTATTACCTCATTATATGATGTGCCATTTATCACCTCTGGAGAGAAAGAAATGATAGGAAGTTTGGGAATATTTTTGCATCTTCTACTACCTTAAGCCACAATATTAAAAGAGCTGTTGTTTCTAAACTGATGAATTGGAAAAACGGGTATGATTTGTTGACATTGCTTTGAGATGGCTGTTGCTATATGGTTTTCTGGAGAATCCTCACTCTTCTCTATTTCATGGCTGACTGTTATTTTGGTAACTATGTACCTATTCCTAGCATTGTTCTGTTTCGAAAGGCAATGGTGTTAGGCTGGCTGGCATTGGTGGTATTATGCATGTGGAGCAACCTTCTGCTACACTGTTGGATCATCCCGAATTTTACCTGGACGGGCTTTGGGGCAACCAGGATTGCTGTTTTTTGGTCCCTGGGGAGTTATTTTGTGGACGATGATGATCACTGCTGGACCTTTCTCCCCTTGGAGGGTCTTTTTGGCAACCAGGGGATTTTTGCGCTTCTCTCGAGTGGGCTTACAATTGATTTATCTTTTCGATCAGCAGCCTGAGTCTTGATGCTTTGCATCTTCTACCACATTTTGGTTATACAAAAGTTTATTTTTGTAATTTTAGGTGGTATAGTTGTGGTTTTTTATACTGGCCCTCATAAGTTTTTGTTGTTTCTTATGATTGGGCTTTTTTCAATTGTTACTTGTAATATTTCCTTATTTCAGTAATATATGGGCCTTGGCCCCAAAATTTCCCAAAAAAAAAAAAAACTTTACATTTTTGAATTTTTATAAAAATTTATATGATTTAAATATTATATAATATTAATTTTAACACAAAATTTAAAATTTTAAAAATCAACTTAATAATTTATATTTCTATGAGTTTATCGATAAAAAAAATAAAAAAAAAAGTTAAAATTATTATTGAAATGTTGATTCCTTAAAAAATCCAAAGTAATAGGATTATAGCTGAAATCCAAAAAATAAATATAAGGAAATATAATGCTTACATTATCTTTATTTGAAGACAGAAGTAGTCAAGATCTGACCAGTGGGAATCTCCTTTCTTGTGTTGTTTAAGCATTTTATAATTGAAAAAATTATTCTGCGCGGATATCGTATGATGTCTGGAGATCAATCAAAATGTGTCACACACTTTTTTTTGCTCAGTATCACTCAGTACCGAATGACATGGCGCGTTCAGGTTGGTCTCTGGACCGTCCGATGTCTACACAAAATAATTTCTTCTGTAATTGAGGAATGTTCCTATCTAATTGAAAAGTCCATCCTTCTACACATTTCAAAAGACCTCAAAGGAGACTTTGACTGAGAGAATTTGCGAGATATGATCATTAAAATTCATATATGTCGTCGATACATATTATCATCCATCCTTACCATCGTATGTAGTTGATCAATAATTGATGTTTGAAGTCAGCCTTACAAATCATTCAGTCTCCCCTCATATAAGATAATGATCAAGCACACTATCAATTATTGCTCAACATACGATGTTATTAGCTAATCATTATATAATATTATATGATGATAAACTTTTTTTACCGTCGTAAATATTCAAGCACGCAACACGACCTTCTCTTTCAAAATAATAATGATTTTATTTCATAAAAATACTAGTCAATGAAGAATATCATCACATGAACCCTAAAACTATATTTTGGTGTAATAAAACCATACTTCTTTGGCCTTCTAAAAAAACTGTTCAAATGTAAAAAAGAGTTTAGAATGATGATGCAAAAGAAGTAATTAGATATACATATTTGATTAATATGGACATAAAGGACCTAAAAGGAAAAAAAACTATACTTAGGATGACTTGAGGAATAAACCTATCAATAGGAATTTTCTACCCACCGTTGCTAGTCCGGGTGGTGAAGAGCCGGCGGGACAAAGTCTAGGTCCCAGGTTCGAATCCCTTGGCAAGCAGTGAGAGCCTTAAGTGTTGGCCCGTGTAAATTGGTGTGGGTTGCACGCTAGATCGACCGGGATTTTCACTGACCTAAGGACAGTGCTTCCTCGTCACCAAAAAAAAAAACTTACCAAAAAATTCTTTCTACTTGATGATTTTGAATTGTTCTAACAAAACATGAATGTTACACCTTATAAAAAGTAAACTATTATCATTTTACTAAAACCCAAATCAAATGTCAAAATATTTCATAATTATTAATGACATGTATTTTTTATAATAATTAATTTGTCATCTTATTTAATAATTACATATATCTATTTAGGCATATATATCATCTTATATAATAGTTATTAGTAACATGTATTTTATTATTATCAAAAAATACATGTTATTAATAAGATAATAATAAAGACCAAATGAGCCCATCATACACATGAACTTTTTTAATAATTACAAATATCTATTTAGTTTTACAAATATCTATTTAGTTTTAATAAAACATAATATTTGATTATTACATGCACATGGACTAATTGGAATAGATGCATATGTTATATCATATTTGACATGGCTCTAGAACGACTTTGATACGTGTCTCTAGCCAGTCGTTCCAGTGAGCGTCTTTGGTGAATGCTTTTGACAAGTGCCATGAGCGAGTCCTTCTGAGTTAGGGACTAGCACGACAAAAGAGGTCGTTAAGGTGAGGTTGATAGGTGTACAACTCATGTAGAGGGGCCCTTCTGAGAAAGACAGGTTGCTTTGGCTAACAGAGTTTTTCTTGTTGAGGCAAGCATCCTCTCTAATTAAGCTCCTCTAAGACAAATTAGCACTGAGGTGTACATTTAATTCATCGATTCTCTTGCTATTTGAAGAGCAACTTGCAAGAAAGAATAAGTGAATTAATGAAAAATACATTATTTAAACCACCTATTGAAAGCAACAAGTTTAAAAAAATGAACACCATTAAAAAGGCAATGGTTATTGCCATTCCCATTCATGAAATCCACCCTTTCCCCAACACCAGGGCAACCAGAATAATGTAAGAGAGATGACCTTGTTAAGCACAAACTCTTTCTTGGGGATGGCTCTCTTGCAATCTTTAGCATGGGAAATTAAACTAACATGCCTCTTCATCTTCTATTTATAAGATTAAGAGAGATACAAGAGAAATTATACCTAAAATAAATATAAAAAACAATACATGACATCACCAATAAAGATTGGCACAGACTTGTGAACTAACTGGATGATGTATATGAGGACCTCGATGAGTGCCTTGGACTAGTCTTCGGAATATGGCTCACATGATGAGTTTATGAAAGCAAGTCCCTTGACATAAGAGTCAAATCCCTAGGAGTGACAGATGGGTCCTTCGGGTGAAAGTGACAGTGATCCTTGGACAAGTTCAATCCATGAAATCATGATAATAGGCTTCAAAGGAGCACATTTTTTGTAATTTGATCAGGGATGTTTGTGATAGGCGAGTCGCCTTAATCACAAACAGCACTCGCCTATCACAAACAGCTGCTACAAGTAGTGGGTTTTGTTGAGGCCATTGATCCTCAAATTGGTCAAGGCAGGTCCTCCGGAGGAGCTTGTCGGGGATGATTGCACCCTCGGTCTAATCTCCTAGGGTGAGTCTGCATGCTATGACTTCCCCAAGGAAGAGTAGCTACTTGTCCCGACATGATGTCAACTACTGCTCTACAGGAACATGTTTCCTTTGGGCAAGTGTCAATTTAACCATGACATCCCTATGGTTGAGTTCTTAATAAGAATTTGTTAGATAAATGTGAATTGCCTGCATGGACATGTAAGAGTATATAACCACAGTAGAGTGCATATCTCTGCTTAGAATGATAGTTTCTATTTCTTATATTTATTTTTTCCTATTTGTATCGAAAACCTCAATTGACAATAATTGCAATATCGAAAAGGATCAATGATAAAGCTGCTTTATTTTTCTTGCACTTGAAGTACACAAAAACATTAGCCAACTCCCAATCAGCATATAAACTAAAACATGTCAGTCATCCTATTCCATAGGAGAAAGGATCATTGCAAATACAAAATAATCTCAATGACAAGAAATATTTGCAAATTAGAACATAAGCAGTAAACCACAAAAGTTTCTGGAGAACTAAAATAAGACAACTAAGGCTTCGTTTGGGACGGCTTTCTTCCCGCTTTTTAAAGCAGCTTTTTAGTATAAAATTTAAAATTTTTATACTAAAAAGCCGCTTTAAGAAGCAGGAAGACAGCCGTCCCAAACGAGGCCTAAGTTTCATTTGGGATGGCTTTCTTATTGCTTCTTAATAAAGCAACTTTTTAGTACAAAAATTAAAGCTTTTATATTAAAAAATTGTTTTAAGAAACAGTAAAAAACCCGTCCCAAATGAAACCTAAATCTGAGATGCCTCACTATAAGATGAAGGATGGGACATTGCAGTTTTGAGATTGGCCTCAATCGTAGGCACGGGGAAGCTATTTGAAAGGCTTGGTGCTGATTTTTCATTTTCATTTGAGCCCAGTTCTGCCTTCTCCTTTGCTTTTCCTGCCTTTTCTCGCAGTTTCTCCAGCTTCTCTATTGCTCTCCTCTTGTTCTCTAATCTAGTAGCGCGCGCTTCAGCAGTTTCAGTTACTAGGAAGTTTGTGAGAAGAGTGGAAGGCAGGAGTGAAAGTGCATCTCTACGTGACAAGCTTGGAACAATTTTTTGTTGCTTTAATCGGATACTTGGCTGCATTGAAATAACAAGCTTTTAAATACTTGGATTAGTAAGGGCATCTCCAACCGAACTCCAAACACATGAATGGCGTCGCTCGCGAGCTCCAGCCGAATGGCAAAACTTTCGGTATTTGGTTGCGGGTGAACAGTGCGACGCCAATATTGGTGTTGCACTGTTCACCTGCGTTATTTTTCTGTTTCTACCGGATTTGTCGAAGAAACACGTGAAAGAGGAGAAAGACGGTTACCTTCTACGAAGGGTGCAAAATGGAGTTCGATTGGAGATGAATCATGCCATTTTTTAGTTTCACTGCATTTTGGAGTGAAAAATGAGATTTTTGGTTGGAGATGCCCTAAGTGACTACCAACTACCAAGCTTCATAACAAAGTTCAGGGATATTGATTCTTAAAGGAACATGCTACGGAAATATAAATGGAGAATATTTCTAAAAACATATGATCAGAGCTTGCACAAGAACAGAGCATCACCATAGAAATGAGCACTATGCCTTTTTTTTTTAAGTATATAAAAATGCCAGAAAGAATGAAAGAAAAGAATAAATCAAAATTTCTTCAACCTTAGAAAGGAATATGAGACTCAGAAAATGGTTCCAAACTGTCTGTTCTAAAGAGCACCCAAAAATTGAGTAATACTTTGTACAAATAAGTTTCATTCTGAAATAAGATGTCAACAGAACTAGCGAGCTTCTTTTAAGGAGATTTAACATAAAACGAAAATCAACAGCCTGAATCATGACTCAAATCCTAATAGGGCTTGATTATGCAAAAATGAAAATGAAGTCTTTATAACTACACAATAACAGATGCACGCATATATGTAATTCCCTACAAACTTATATTAGATTTGTAAACTGAGAGGTCTATTATATCTTGAAGGAAGCTAACAGGTAATCAAGGATAATCAAGGAATATGAGATTTTGTATTCCATATGCTAGTTCACTGAGGATCAAGATAAAAAAAGTGTTTTTCTTAGAAGATGATATTCAACATTCATGGATGAGATATTTTGATAAATTTTTCAATGAAGATTGTGAGAATATGATTGATTTTAAGGTGTTAGCACCCTAATAAAAATAAAAAATTTTGTTTTTATCGTCGTATTAGTAAAATCGAAATCGGAGAAACTTTAAATAAAATGAAATTGTAGAAAAATAATGGAACTTGATGATATTCCAATAGAAGTGTGTATATGTTTTAGAGATCAAGGAATTTCTTGATTTACTAAACTTTTAAATATTATTTTGAAGACTAAAAGATGTCTGATGAGTGGATAAGGTTTGTGTTGAATCCTATTTTTTAAGAATAAAGGTGATGCACAAAAGCGTGTGAATTATAGAAGAATTAAGTTAATATGTCAAACATTAAAATTATGGGAGAATAATTGAGGATAGGTTAGGGTGTGAATTGTGATACTTACTAATATTTCTCAAAATCAATTTGGATTCATGCCAAGTATGTCTACTATGGAAGCTATACATTTGTCATGAGGATTGATGGAGAAGCACAGAGAGAGCAAGGAAGATATGCATATGATATTTATTGATTTAGATAAATAATATGTAAAGTTCCAAGATAACTGCCTTGGAGAGTTCTAGAAAAGAAAGGAGCAAATAATATTTATATTCAAGTCATTAATGATATGTATATAAAAGATGTTTGTTCAAATATAAGGTGGTTTGAATAAGTATTTTCCTATTTCAATTGGATTACATCCAGGATTAGCTTTAAGCCAATGTCTTTTTGCTTTAGTCATTGATATTCTTGCTAGACATTTACAAGAGGATATACCTTGGTATATACTTTTTGCTAATGATATTCTTCATGTTGATAAAATTAGAGAGGGAAAAGAATGAACACTTGAATTTTACAAGTGAATTTTAAAGGTTTTCCATTGAGTAGATCTAAAACGGAATACATGAAGTGTAATTTTTGTAGTAATATATCAAGTGGCGGGATTGTGACTTTGGGTGATCAACTCATTAAAAAGAGTGCATGTTTTTGATATCTCATATTTATTGTTCAAAGAGACGCTGAAATATATGGAGATATTTTTAGTAGAATTCAATTTGTATGGTTGATGTGGAGGAATGCATTGGGTCTGTTATGTGATAGAAAAGTACCCCTCTAACTTAAGAGAAAATTTTATGAGATGATGGTAAGACAAAATATTTTATGGTGCATAATGGTCATTAAAAGAGTAGTAAAAAAATTAAGTGTTGGGATGCTTAGGTGGATGATTGGTTTTACATTTAGAGATAGAATACGAAACGAGTATATACGTGAAAAGATTGGAGTAGCTCTAGTGGCAGATAAGATTAGAGAGAGTTAACATGGATGGTTTGGTCACATAAAGAGCTGGCCTTTTGATGACCCGATTAGGGGAGTAGATATATTAAATCCGGCCTATATTAAGAAAGGTGGATGTAGACCTAAAAAACTCGGTTAGAAAGTAATATAAATGAGAATTTGACTCTTAATAGAACACAATAGAGATAAAGGATTCATGTAGCCAACCCCATGTAGTGGGATAAAGTCTTGATGTTGTTGTTGTTCTTGTACGCTAGTCGATTGCCTTGTTGGTTTCACTACAAAATAATAATAATAATAATAATAATAATGTAAAACGTGACGGCATATACACCATAAATCAGTCTGCTTTGTTACTGAGGATTTGCTTAGTAAGCTTACAGTCACAGAAGCCACATGTAGCGGCTTTCTTATTTATTTGATTCATCTCTCAAGTACTAATTACTGCCTTGTTAGACTATTGTGTCCATTGCTGAGAAGAAAGCTATTGTTAATTTGACACATGAGTGGGTTGGAAACAGAACATGCTCGTAAGTTCACAGTTGTGTGATTACTAGTTAGTTCACCAGACTAAGATAAAGAAGAGCATAGAGAAAGAGAGATGAGGGGAGAGTATTATTAAGCTTTCGGACTAAAGGGTACGGAAAAAGAGAGAATGTTGGATACTTAATCAGATGGCTCTCTCTCTCTCATAGTTTGATTAAGGGATTGTTGGTTTAGGAATCAGTCATCTATCTCCTGGGAAGACAGTCTCTATTTAAAGGATCCAGTGAAGTGCCACTGGCTCATCCACTTTGATTAAGGGATTGTTGCTTCCATTACACTACCATGACCCTTCAACTAAGTAACTTCTTGAACATGTCAATCCAATGATGAACTCAAGTTATGTACATTTTATACCCACACTATTATATCAAAAAAAAAAAAAAACTCTGAAGGGCGGAACAATATACTTAATAGACCCATCGAGGTACCTTTGAAGATCCCCTAACTCATCCCTATTGGCAGCCATCAAGTAGTTCACCTCATGAATACAACTGCCATTATACTACCATGGTCACTCTGTTAAGGATGCAGTTAAATTCATCAGTTGAACGTTGCAACCCCTATCATTAAGTTTGTTGTAACCACCCAATGCCTGTCATGATTGTGCCAACTAGACTGGAGTTCAAAGTAACAACTTGAACATGTTCCTTGTAAATCCCCATGCCAAGTAGAGTAGGTTGCACCGAATGGTGGCATACTCTTCAACAATTAACTTCCACATTCAATTAGATCAACTAAACCCAAGGGTGTACTCAAGATGTATATATTTTATCCTCATACAACTATATAAAAAAGAAACTCCATTGAAAGGGCAAATTTGAACCTTGGAACTTAGTATGCCAATGAGGGTAACAATCTAGAAATCTAAACCCTCTTAAATCCTAATTTACCCGAATAAGTGCAACCGAAAAGTTAAATAGATTAACTTGTTAAGCCAATAATTAGCAAATTTGAAGCAGGTACGGGCACCAAATTACTAAATATCGATTATTGAGTATCACATGCTTACAAGATGAGTTGTTGACAAGTTGGATGAAGAAAATTGTAAGTCGACTAGCACGCAAGCAATCAAGTAGATCTAATCGACATAGAGGAGCAATGAATTGTGCCAAGCAAAAGAAACCACCTAAGACTAAGTGATAAGAAGTGAATACCATTTCCTCGAAATTAGCGAACGACAATAAGAAATTAGGAAGAAGAACACACCAAAATTATTTTTATTGCAAGAAATATGAAAGAAAATAAAAAGATATAGTTGGATCTTCAGCTGGAGAGGAAGATCCGGCTCTCCCAAATCCCTACTCGGTGGCTAGAGCCCTCACAATCTAACATATTCTAATTTCAGCAAACTCAAAATATAATCCTGAAATCACCCTATTGTTAGTCTTAAATAGGCTTTGATGTAGAACGATCATGCAAAGTTGAATTACTTGAAAAGTTTGCACGCTTAAGTGTTAGAAGCCACAATAATCATATCTTCAAAATGAATTTTCTAACGACAAAAGAAAACACTAAGAGCGGTAAAATACAAGCTTATCCTGAATCACACACGTAAAAGTTAAGATCATAAAACATTCAAGTTAATCTAACGTTGCATACATGATTGATTTTCAATAATAATCCCTGAGTTAACAATAAGAGCAGTATTAGGAGAGGTCCCTCACAAAATTCTACCAAACACTAAGCTTAAGCGGAGAATAATTGGCATGATCGTCGTAAATCACATTAAAACTACAATTGAGGAGTAAACTAAGGAGATAAGAGAATTGGAGGGGAGTTTACCCAAGTAATCAGAAAATACGAAGTTCCTGCGGCTGTAGGAAGGCTTGGGAGGAAGTAGGTGGCATCTAAGAACCTTCCTAAACGTGTGATTAGCAACCTAGAACGTCCGGGCAGCATTTGAAGTCCTTCCAAATGGCTGGACAACAAGAAACATGTGCAGACTTCCCTGGACAGGGAACCAAAATCTTCAGACAGCTGGTACGAAAGTTTGGACAGCACGCCTTGACCTTAGGAACCTTGGCAGCAATTCTAGGGGTTATCGGATCTCAGGACAGTGCACAAAATCTGTCCAGAAAATTTCTGAACAACAATTTGGCATGAAGAACTGCTGTGTTCCGGCTTTCTGGATGCAAAAATTGAAAGAGTATAGCAGGAAAATTTGGGAATAACAATGGGAAATGGTCTTGAGATTAATTTACTTGCCTAGGTGGCAAGATTAATTAAATCCCAAATCAATTTGGGGAGAGAGAATAGAAATCTGAAATTAATTTTCAGATTAAGTGAATTTGGTGGGATAAATTTGAATTTAAATTCAAATTTTAATGGGGAGAATTAAATTGGATGAGAGGGAATTGTGGGAGGTAATTATTGAGGCTTAATGAGGGGCTATTAATGAAATTGGAGAGAGAAAATGAGCATGGAGAGGGGCCGGCCATAGAGAGAGAGGGTAGAGGGGAATTAAGGCTAATGAAGTGGGGCCCACACACTAATCAAGGGTTTAAAGAAAATTTGAATTAAATTTCAGATTTTATTAAGAGGGTAATTTAAGTGCTATTATTTGGAAAGCTTTTTAATTTCAAATTTGAATTTAAAATTCAATTAATAGCTCTCTTAATTACTTTGCCTTAATTTAGGGAAGTAATCAATGCCCTTTTGAAATTTGAATTTCAAACATATGGGTTGGCTGAAGAAGGGGGGGGGGGGATTTAGCAGGGTAGATGGTGGCTGGCAGCAAGGGGAAGGACTTGGGTTAGGGAAAAATTACCAAGAAAAACTTAGTGGGTAATGAGGCCGGCGGGTGGGAAGTTGGGAGGGAATTCGATGCAAAGAAAAATAAAAGAAAAGAAAGATAAGAGAACCGCGAACCTTGGAATCCACCAAGATTGACGGGTACTGCAAATCACCCTCCTCGGGCTTCTCCCCTCATGAACTCACTAAGAGATCAACAATAACATAAAATTTCATTATCAATAATTCATCATCCCCAAATTACAAGAAACTAGCCTATAAATAGGCCTCATGAAAAGAAAAGAGGTATTGACTAAAATGCCCTTCGGGCTACAACACTACATGATTACTCATAAGGGTAAAAAGGGAAAAACAACAAAATAAAATAAAACACATAAATAAATAGACTCAAGATTGTAGCCGTTGATCTCCGATGTCCTCATCAAGGCTCTCCTAATTCCCTCCCAAATCAGCCTCCTTTCCTTAAATAATTCCCTCCCAATTATAACTAAAAATTTCCTAAATAATTTTCCTTTGATTATAAACCTTCCTAAATAGCTCCCTCCTGATTCCCTTCCAATCAAATCGACCAGTCCATCACTAAGCCAAGTAGAAAACTTCATTCATCTGAACGCAACACGCTAGTTAAAGCTGAACAATTCTACAAGGTGCTTTTGCATTTGATCTTTCCCCTCCTGCTTAAGCTACCTGCACTAAGAATTGTTATAATATGTTGGAAGGTAACATTTGGAGTACCGCACATGCTCAAGCCATAGGAGCTTTATCAAATTATTCAGTACCAGCTAGGAGCATAGATAAATTATGGATCCTTTTTAATCTCCTTATCATCTCTTATATATAAAAACCACCTATTTCCAAAGGCCTAGTGTAACTATAACATTGATGGAGTTAAGAGAAGAGAGGTATGTTGATGGATGGTGGTGGGTAGGATCTTTGAGTAAAGGGTGATGATGCTTTCTTGTGGTGATATATGGAGAAGCCTAGGGTTGATGGTGGTCTGCTAAAAGGAGGGTTAATAGACTACGCTGAAAGATCGGAAGGTGGAGGGGTTGCCTTCAGAGGGAGTATAATAGAGATATCTCGGGATGGTTTTGATTTTGGTGAGGAACAACATGAGGGAGGGGTAGCTAGGGTTAAGAAGAGGGGTATTGGTCGACCATGAGAGGGTGATGGAATAAGACAAATACTAGATGACCAACGAAACTATCAAAGATCTCTTCTAAGAGTAAGCCACTGACACAATTTCTCGAAAAGCAACCAAGCAAAGTAAAATTTGCTCACTGATACATTTGATTTATCAAAGTTACAAAGAAGGTGCATGTATACACACACATATATATATATATTCATCAGGGCCATTTAGATGCAATCGATAATTTCCCTCCTTTGAGTGACTATCAAAGCAAAGTTTGGAGGGTAATTAGACTTGATTTGAACACATGTTACTTAAATAAGGGGTAAGAGGGTTGGCCATGTTTGTATCGAAAGAGAGTGATCATGAATTCTGGCACATGTAGGGATTTCAATCAAAAATAGGCCACATGCTTGATCCAAATCATTTACTGAGTTTCTTGAATACTAATGATGATGATGAATACATTAATCTTAAAGCCTAAAGTTGTGCTCCTACCAATGATCTAGTCACTGGTCCATGTGCATGAGATTATGTTGCATCAACTCAAACCACAGTGAATCTTGCTACGTGGAGTTAAAACTAATGTAGTCATCCACAAGGTATGATGTAAATTTAAGAATTGAAGTTTTCATTGAATGAGGTGAATAGTTCAATCCATAAACAATAGAACTCAGCTCCTTCCTTTCCGATAATCCAACCTTATCTTTATAAATCTCTATCAAGTATTCATCATTACAATGCATATGCTTGAGTTCATTACTTCTTGGTGTTCACTCTTAAACATAGAAAAAAAATTTAAAATTTTGTACATAATAAAAAGGACGCTTTAATAATATGTATAGTGATCTTGACATATATTTCAAAAGTTGTAAATAAGGTTGGTAGATGTTCATAAATGGATGCTATCATTACAAGCCTTTTTACTTTAAATAAATCATTAAGAACATTTTCTCAGTAAACAAACCTCCAACTATGGAAGAAGCTAAATAAACCCAGAGACTATCATTACAGCACCTAAAAAGTGAATGCTAGCTTGATCTTCACTGATAGCAAATTTCACATACACCAGATTCGAAAGGAAAAACTTCATTTTTTGCAAAACTCAAGGAATCTCATATGTGATTAAAAGTTCAGAAAATTTTGCTTTTGGCTAGAAATTATATAACTCATAGAGAGTACCACCTTTCCAAAGAAATATGTTTGAAGTTCTACTAGTTGTTCCAAACCCGTGTCAACGAAATTAAACACTATCTAAAACCCCAGCAGGTTCCAATACTTAAACTCCCTTCTATTTCACAATCGTTCCCAACAACATGGAACGATATATCCCGATGCAAGGGATCAAAATTCCCTCGTACATTTTTTTGGCAAACAAATCCCTAGATAGCAGAACCGAAAAGCTCCTAATCCCTAATTATCAACCCACATTTTAATAAATATCCTCGAAATGCCAACTGGGTTTGTCCAACTTAACCAATTTTTCCGTAGGAAACGAATCTACGGAGAGAAACATCGTAAATTTTGGAGGAAAACTACAAATTCAAGATAAACAGAGAAAAAAAAGGATGAGAAACCTGTTCATCTTTCTTCACGAATATAATCCCCCGCCTCCCGAGCGCAGAGTTCCTCAAACCAGGTGGAGGAAGCGGCGACACCGATAGCGCTCGCAGAGAACTCAACGTCATTTTAGAATTTCCAAGCCGTGTGCAGAGTGCGTGCCGCCCTCAGTGCCCTGTACACTGTGTAATCAGATAGTGTGAACTCTTCGGGTTTTTATCTTTTGGTATTGGTATTTTAGTTATTTTTTTTTTATTCATGGGCATGAAGATGAATTATTGTATTTATATTACTCTTTGAATATTATAATGATTGTTAGAGTAATCAATATAAATGTTGATCAATAGATTTATTTTCTCCTGACAATTTATTATTAAAAGAAATTAGATATCTTGATTATCCAAATCTCATCATAAAAGTCATTCTTACACTTCATATCTACTACGGTATATCATTGTATATCTCAATTATAAGGTAAGCATCTTTTGTAACTTATGATATGCATAACTCAGAATCATTTTTAAATTAGGTCAAACCCAATGGATTTACCTTTTTGTGCCTCCACGTAAAAAATATTGTCTTTTAAGAACCGCTCTCGACTTATTTTATCAATGTGTCTACAAAATATTCGCATAATATTAAGTTGATAAACTCTACGCTTCGACAAATATTTTAGCATGTAACAAGATTAATTCTTGTTGCGTCCTAGAGTATTCATGACGGTAAAGAATTATAAAGTTTAACGTCTCAACATTGTACGAAGATCCAGCACACACAGATAAAGAGAAAGGGTGCAGCATTAAAGGAGACACCAAGACTTTTACGTAGAAAACCCCTAAAAGGGGGGAAAACCACGGGTCCTAGCCAGTTTGAATGAATACACTAGTGTTTATAGTTGATTACAAATGAGGCATTTCCTTGGGGGAAGGCCTTAACTTGATGTACATCTTATAGTATGCATTACATTATGAGAATACAAAGAATCTCAATTGATGTGTTTATTTGGTCTGAAGGACTGTAGTCGGTGGACGACATAAGTCAGAAGGATCGTAGTCGGCGGGCAACGAATGTCAGAAGGACAGTATTCAATGGGCAATGTAAATCAGACGGACCGTAGTCGGATTTAATTTTTGAAGTTTTCAACTTGATTTTTGCCTCGAGATTCATGCCCGATCAAGATAATTTTTTGAGGACATATCAATTCTAAATTGAAATTTTCAATCACTATTTGACTCTAGTCATAATAGTTTGAGTTGGGCTTAATTTGAGAGAACAACAGAGCATCTCGAAATTGACTTTGTTTTTTAAATGAGTTAATTTTGAATACCCTTTTAACAATTTTGATATTCAATTTTCTGATAAAAGAAATATATGGAAATAAATGTAAATTAATTTTTCTTTTATTACTAAAGAAAAAATTTAAAATTAAGATACATAATATGCATATAATATTAGACTAACTATTAGTTATCTATAATTTATATGATTGACTCTTATATTTAACACAAATGATACAATTAGCAAGAGAGTTTAGTTTAGGATTACTAATGAAACATAAGTCCAAAACTTACACTGAAAAATTAAAGGCCCGCACAACATGAGTGAATATGATTACTACAAATTATATTGAATTGCTAATATAAATCTTTCAAAAAAGAAACAATGAACAGAAAAATAGTCAAACTCTATATGGCTAGTGTGTCAGTTATCATAGAGCATCCATCACCTATAGACTTCCAAGTAGGGGTGTCAATTCGGGTCAACGACCCGGGTTCGGGTAGAATCCGGAATTGACTGGGCACTATTCGGGTCAACCCGAACTCGACCCGTTTTTAAAAATGGGTCAGGTTTTCGGACCCGAACCCGACACGACACGAATGACCCGGGGTTGACCCAAAATTTCTAGTATTCGAGTCAAAAATTGGGTCAATTTTTTATTTTCGGGTCAAAACGGGTCAATCTCGGGTTTTCGGGTCAAAATGAGTTTTCTCGTCACTTTCGGGTCAATTTCGGGTTGCTGGGTCAACCCGAACCATACCCGATTTTTAAAACGGGTTGATTTGTTGAACCCGAACCCGACCCATTTCAGGTTCGGGTTGACCCGATCCCAGATTTTTCTGGATCAGGTTAGGATTCCAACTAATTTTTGACTCAAAATGACTCATTTAAATTGTGTTTACATCTTTTTTTATTTGTTGGTTAAATCGTCATAATTTTTATTAATCAATCTAAATACTATTTTGGTAAAGTTATAATTTCTCTTTAAAATAAGAACATATTATCAGGTTGGGTCATTTGGGTTGCTAGCGAGTTAGGGTTTATGTCCATATTTTTTACCTATTTATTAAACGGGTCAGATTTTGATTGACTGGATTCGAATCAGATCAATTTTGAGTCGAACCAATAAAAAAGCAAATAAATGCTATGAAAAAAAATCACAAATAATGGTTAGATTATATCATAGCTTTAAATAAGGACTCAAAAACAAAATCTTTGTATGCTTTAATGTATCACTTCTTCCTCGACTCAAAGTCTCAAACACCTAAATATCACTTTTCAAAGTAATGTATAAATAATAGATAATTATGAGATAAAATAGGGATACATCCTTAAGTAGAGGAGCATCTGAGTAACAATAGAGCTGTTGCTTTTGTTATATGAAGAAGGTTGTTGCTATAATCCAAATCATAAGTGTTTTATGATGAAAATTTCATGCAATTATCAAATAAAATAAAAACTATAGAAGGGATCATGAAATTATATTTAGGTTTTATTTGAGACGATTTTCTTATTGCTTTGTAATAGGGGTGTCAATATTTGATACGAGCTGAAACCTGACCCGAAAATTTCGGGTTAGGGTCAACCCGAACCTGAAATGGGTCGGGTTCGTGTTCAACATTTCGACCCGTTTCAAAAATCGAGTCGGGTTCGGGTTAACCCTTTGACCCAAAATTGACCAATTTTGAACAGAAAACTCAAATTTGACCCGGCAACCCAAAATTGACCCGTTTTTTACCCAAAAAAGATGAGATAGACCCGTTTTTATTGAAAAAAATGAGATATACCCTTTTTGACCTGAAAACTAGCAATTTTTTGTTGGAAAACAGGTCATTCGAGTCGTGTCGGGTTAACCCGGACCCGAAGCAGGTCGAGTTCTGGTCAGAAAAATTGACCCGTTTATAAAAACGGGTCGGGTTCGGGTTAGACCCGAATAGTGCCGGGTCACGAGACCTGAAATTAACACTCATATTTGTAAAGTTACTTTTTAGTGCAAAAAATTCTTGAAATCAGAGAAAAAATAGTAATCTAAGGTTTAGTTTGGGATGGCTTTCTTCTTACTTTCTAAAACAGCTTTCTAGTATAATAATTTTTTGAATTAAAAAAATTTTGTATTAAAAAGTCGTTTTAAAAAGCAGTACAAAACCATCCTAAATGAAACCTTAATCTTAGAAGTTTAAGGAATTGAAAATACATGATTGTAATGAACATTTTAGCAAGGATCAAAGAGAACATCAACCAAATTTAAACAAGGAGAGGTAATATAAATTGAAAACTTGAGCTTAGTTATTTCAAAACAGAATCAATCCCACAATTTGAACAGATTGAATAACAATGGAAGTGTAAATACTATGAAGTTGCTAAAAATATTTAAAAGCTGTTTTTTTCTTCCTTATTTCAGTTAATTTTTTAAATATTTTTATGTAATATTAATACGAAGTTGTTGTTTGAATATGAATGATTTTCTCTCTTTTAATGTAAATGAGATTATTTAAACTCATAAAATTAAGCTTGATCTGTAGCACAAATTATCTTCAAGCTATTAGATTAAGGATTCTTGATTATTTTACAGAAGGCCTTAGGTTATTTATGTTGTGATCAATAAATATATTTAATTAGTTACAAATATGTTAATAAGCAATTAAATAAACTAGAAATAAATACAGTAATTAACATTAAACTAATTTTAATAATCATTATTAATTAATAAATAATAACTAAAAAATTACTAATCGATACATCATAAATTTTTTTTTGATCAGACACAAATCTAAATTATATATTTATATATATAATAAATTATTAATAATAATATTTTAGATACATTTTACTATTTAGAAATCGGTCCCAAGTTACAGATTTAAGGGCTTTGGGTATCCAAAATTTTGATGATGAGGGATCACCACCGTTCATTATATTACCTTAAATCGTCGATGAACGGTGATGCTTATCATTCTGCGGCCTTCGCGTTAGAGAAAGTCGCCACTCGCCAGCAACTGCGACCGCATCGGCATTTCCGGCGCTCGGCTTCCTCGGTCTGAAGATGGCAATGGTGGTGTCGAATCCCTCTAATACAAGTAAATTATCCAGATCTTGGTTTCGTAACTCTTCTTGAGTCTCTCTTTTTTTTCAGATTTTTTTTTTTTGGTTTGATTGTCAAGTTTCTATGCCAAACCCTAGCTTATGCCCCTTCCTAATGCAATATTGTTTCCCCCTCAGCCGAGGAGATTGCTACTGCCGCGGCAGCGTCATCGGGTGCAGGTGAGTTTTGATAATATTTTTGTCTCTGTGTTTTGTGATACGGATGCATTCTTTGCTGCTGTTGTGGGTTTTGGGTTTTGGATTTTTTTTGACATAAGCTCTTGATTAGTAATTTTGGTGTGCATTTATTATGAATTTCAGAATTATGAGAGTTCAGGGTACTTATGGCAACTGGTTATGAGAGCTCGGGGCATTTATCATGAATTTCGGAGATTGCTACTAGCTTATAGAGCTTTGCAACCTTAATCTTCTTTATGAACATTGAAGATTCTGCTATCTTCTTTGATCTTTGATTATGTTTGGAGCATCTTTTGCTTGTGCAGATAAGACTTACTTGTTTAGATGTTCAGTTTATGCTGTTTTGATTATTAATACCAGCATAACTTGCTCTGAGCTCGACATCAAGGGGCCGGTTGGGTGCAAATAGGATATTGTAAATTATATAAATTCGATTTATTAAATCCCAAGGCTCAGTTAACTCTTGAAAACTATTTTGCATGACATATGTTGAATTGGATTAAACCCTAGGAAACTATTTGGCCACTTATTTAAGGATTTAAGAAATTAGGTGATTGTGGTATTTATTATATTAACTCATCATATATCAATCTTACCAAATTAATTAAATCATAATTAGCATAAAATAATATCTCAGTTAATCATTAATTTATAATTTACTAAGTTTATTAAACAACACTTTTCATTAAGTTAAGTTAGAGGGGGCCTAAATAAAATTAATTAAATTCCTCACCTTCATCCCCTTACTCCTTAGCTTGCCTTTCTGAAACTCTCTTTCATCTTAATAAAATTTTAATTTTATTTATTCAAATTAAATTATAATTACCATAGTTAATATGTTAACTAATTATTAATTAGTAATTTATAAAGTTAATTAAATATAATAATTCTTATTCAATCCAATAAAACAATAAATGATATTAATCTTCTTAAATTAATATTTTTTTTGATCATTTATAACAATTATTTTAATTAAATTAAATTTTTGTTTAGTATATCCTATTTAATTTGTATTAACAATTTTAAAAAATTGTCAGTTAAAAATGAAAACCCTCGTATTTCTCCCTTAGATTCACATTCCCCAAATTCCTGAAATCCTAGATGTCAAATAAGCTAGGAAGACGACACGGGAGTCTTCTTGAGAAGGTATCGACATAACCAACAATGTGTGAAGGATTGTGAAGGAGAAGAGTTCATGAGAGACTTGCTAATTTAAGTTAAAAGAGAAGCGTTTGTGAGAAACTTATGTATTTAAGTTAACTTCTTCCAATGCTTGGATTTACTAAATTTGATAGTTAAGGAAAAATTGTGGAGAAATGGGATGCGAAATTGGGTAGAAATGGGATTTAAAATTTCATAGAGTTTAAAGTTGTTTAATTTGGTATTTGGCAGGATTTATGTTAAATCCTGCTCAAGTCTTGCAATTAAACTGCCCTAAATGGTATGAAATATTTTTTATTATTAATTATCTCTTATTTTAAAGTTAGATTTTATTCGTAAATAATTTTTTTCCCAATAGGGGTGTTTGGCTAAAAGTTGTTTTTAGTAAATCTTGTAATTCTAAATATAATAAATCTTGATGGTGTTAAATCTTTAAAAATAATTGACATGAAAGCTTTAAAATGTGACTAAATCTCGCTAAACTGTTGGAATTTTTGTTCGAAGACTTAATATTTAATTGGATATGCAATTTAACCGGGAATTAAAAAAATGCTAGAACTAATGTTAACAATAAAATTTAATTCAATGAACATATTTTAATTAGAACACATTTCATTAAAATAATTTCTTAATTTATCGTTCTTATTGTTTATTTAGATATTAATTAACTGATGTGCAACAATCTTTCTCTAGATGAATTATTAACTCAAAAAAATAAGACCGAGAATCTCAATCTATCAAGTAACAAACACACTAGTGAAATGTCAATAGAGCTCGATAAAGTTGAACGCATCTTGCTTCTGGACCACAATGAAAATGATGAAGAAGAGGTGATTGCGAGTGAGAGGGCTAGATATAGAGAGATTGCAATGTTAGGTGATTGCAATATGGTGAGAGGCACTAATAAAATGCGACTGCAGAAGGGAGGTTGCCTCAAATAGATTGCAAGGTGAAGAGATTGGAGTAGAAGGTGAAGGTGAAGGAGAAGAGAGGGAGGATGGGCAGGTGGGTTAATGAAGGAGAATATATTGGAGAAGGGGGATGAAGAGAAGGGGAGGATTAGGCTTTGTGTGGTGGTAGCTTGTATTAATTACATATTGATCTACTATGGTAGCACTACGTTACCATTGAATCCTTAATCCATACAAGTAAGATGAAGGTTGAGGAAGAGAGATGGGGAAACTAAGAATAGAATAAAGCGAGGAATAGGTGAATAAGCACAAGAATGACAAAAAAAAACTAGTATACTACTATGATGCTACTTAGGGTTTTTTTGAGATAGCTTTTTCATTACTGGAGGGAGGGAGGGGAATTACTACTTTTTTTTTTCAATCCCAATCTCGTAATAAAAGTTTGTTTTATTTGAAGAAATATAATAATATCTTTATTTATGGTTCAAGAAAATCTTATTTTTCTAAATGAAGTGAACTTTTGATGGTAATATTGAAGTCATTGTTTTTATTTTAGCTGATTTTTTTTTTAAAATTATGGGTGAACTTACTACTTTTTTAATCCCAATTTTCTAATAAAAGTTTATTTGAAGATACATGACAGTATCTTTATGATGGTTACTACTTTTTTAATCCCAATTTCCTAATAAAAGTTTGTCTTATTTGAAGATACATAACAATATCTTTATGGATGGTTCTAGAAAATTTTATTTTTTTAAAATGAAGTGAAGTTTTGATGGTGATATTGAAGTCATTATTTTTGTTGTAGCCCGGATTATTGTAGTTTTTTTTAATGTTTTCTTTTTATTTGGAAAGTAATAATTTTGTATAACTCATTAAATATTCACTATATCTGTCAAATCTAAATATATCGAATTGTTATATTTTCTGATTACATGCACTTGTGTTTTAACTTGTTAGGTGTTTTAGGACACCATATGCATAAAAATCGTTTGCAGGAATATACACAAAGAGCAGGATTATCACTTCCATCTTATTCAACTGTGAACGAAGGAGAACCACATGCACCAAGGTTCCGAGCTGCAATATTGGTAGATGGGATGAGATTTACTTCTCCTTACACATTTTCTCACCGAAAAGAAGCAGAACAAGATGTTGCAAAACGTACTCTTGAGATTATATCAGTAAAATTTAAGAATGAGGCTTCCCTTAATATTCACAAGGTATCTCTCACCATCATTTGTAAAATTAGATATACTATTACACTTTTTTTAATTAGTTTTACATTAAACTATAACATTTGTATATTCACGCAACTATGATTTTTAAATTATTTTTGTTCTACTATTTCACCACTGTAAATGTTGTAAGGAAAAAATTGATATAAATTTATGCAAGTTTATTGATATGTGAGGAAGGCCCATAGAATTCCTCATGATGTATATTTTTTTCTTGTTTCCAATATCTTTAGTTTAGGATATCATAAAATTGTTTAACATTGTCTTCTACTTTATAGGACCCAGCATTTTGCAAATTGATCCTCAATGAGTATGGAGCTAAGCTGAAGAAAGACAGACCAACATATTCCACCGTTCAACAAGATGGACTTCTTCCAATATTTATTACAACTATTACTTTCGATGGGAAAACTTATGTTGGATTAGCTGGAAGGAGCAAAAAAGAGGCAGAACAAAATGCAGCATGTGTTGTTATTGATTCTATTTTAGGTCTGCTTTTTTTATTTGCTTGCATTAATTGATATGGTTTAAAAAGTGTTAAAAATATTTTAATATTTGTCATATCATGCTATTGGAAATTTTGGGAATATTTTTGCAGCAAATTCAAACACAGTTGCTGCAATGACTCAAATTATAAAGACAAAAGGTAAACTTTATGAGACGGTGAACAATATTGCCAATGCTGGGAATGCAACCTTGACGAGTGAAATCAAGAGTGATGATGCTGATGGTGTTATTGAAGGAACAGGGATAACGGCTGTTGCACCAATTGGTAAGCTAATCACTACCATTTTTGCTCAGTGGACAACTTTCAAAAATAACTTTTATGTCCTGTTGCAATTTGACCTTAAGAAGAAATGCTATCTACTGTTGGAATCATTGTGATTTTAGTCATTACCCAACAGGAAGTTTACCTACCGGACCGACAAGTTGGATTCCTTTCACTTCTCAATTGGTGGATCCTTTCACTTCTCAATTGGTGGATATTTCCCAGAGCAATCAAATGAATTATCATATTTCATCTTCGGGTTTGCCAATGACGGTAGTTGATGCACAAGCTATTGCTCCAAAGAAAAAGAAAAAGAATTCGAAGAAGAGGAAAGCTGATCAATCTAAAAGAAAAAGAGTTGATGAACCGTAAGCATTACGTACTATTTACCCTTGAAGCTTTTTTTGCTTTCTTTTTTAACCATGCTCTTTGAGATTCTTTATTATATTATGATTCCTGTTTAGTAGAATATTTTTCATGACAGGACCTTCCTGTTTGGCTCGATTTTGGGGAGCCTATTTACCAATTCTTTTTTTTTTTAAGTACTGTTGACATGTTTGATACTCAATGAGCTAAATTCATCCCACCAGTTTGCTTATCTTAATTAAAATCATTTTTATAATTAGAGTTTTTATTTTCCTTGATATATCACTTTGCTTTTATGTCCTAGGAATCTAGTACAATGTTTTTTTTCTTACCTCAATTCAGTTATTTATCATCTCTTTCCTCCAACTGTTCTCTCGGGCCTATGGATCACTTGTGGTCATATCGAGGTCAATGAGAGATCAAGTCTTGTTGATAATTCTTTTCCTTCTGATGCTACCTTAGAGCATCCTAAGGAGAAGAACATCAGGATCATTCTATGATTACCTTCGATGTGCATAAAGTGGTCAAAGGGCCCAATATGCAGGTTGCAGGATGTTTAGGCTCGCCATGTTTGGCAACTTTTGGCTGACTGTTCAAAAGTGTGGAAGAAAATAGTAACTGTCCAACATGGTGGAAGTTCATCAGTGATCTCTCAGTTCTTGTTCCTGGAAGCTGAATCGTGCTGCTTGAGTTTTTTTTTATGATAAGTGGATTTTGGTTGATCTTTGTATGTGGTGGCTATATCAGTTGTCTTCAGATGGTAGGGTTCAAGTATCTTTCGAGTACAATGATTTCTCTAGGTACAATTAAAAATTATGATTAAATATTTTCTTAATTATTTTTTATGATCAATAACATTAAGAAAAATTTCTTTAACATAATTGTTGCGTGGTCAGATGGGTTGAGCTTATTATTGTGGTTGCTTATGGATAAAACTTTTTTTTTTAATTTATTGCATAACTTCAAAGTATTGGTTTGCTCTTTTGATTTTCATTAAAAAAAATGTTATTACTTATTACATGAATTTTCTTTACTCATTCTTTTAGCAGAAATGTTAAAGATGAAAGTTGGCTTAGCCTGAGGATTATGACAATTGCACTGGCATAGGTGTCAGGATTTGTTTTCCTTTTTTTTTTTTAAGATTTAGGCAATTACTTTGATAGATCACAACACTGTATTGCATGCTGATGTGGTAACTTTTAGTATTACATGAAGATAGAACATGTTGCCTTAGTCTATTATCTTATTTAGTTGTAAAGTAGTTGTTTTCACTGCCACATCATTGAAGTTTATTAGAATGCCATAAAGCATTGTTTATATCATTTTTACAATATTTTACTCAACCTAGCGACCAATCTTTAATTTTTGAAGAATATGAAACTTGGTTGAGGATTTTATTTTGCTATTTATATCAATTTAAAATGTTGGATGATGATCGAGCGTTATCAATGTTTTTGTGAACTTTGACTTTTTCATTTAAATATATTTGTAATCCTCCAATTTCTATCTTAGGAACTTGGCATGAATTATGTACCTTAGAGGACAATTTCAAGTATCTTGAATAAATGGGATATAATTTGAATATCATTATTTGTCATGGTACTATATTTTGTCAGTTTTCATGGCTTTGGTATTTGATGTGAACTTTAGATTTGCTTACGAAATGCATTTTCAGATCTAACCCGAATTTTATTATATTAGATTGAGTTTTAAATGATTCAGATGAAGTAGGATGTCGAAACCAATTTCTTGTAAGTTATAACCCAAAAACAATATGGTATTGTGATTCTGTTATGATACACTAATTGCAAATGTTTAAACTGTTTGCTTCTGCCAGAATTTTTTTGTTTAAAAAAAAATTGTTTTCCAATGTTTCCCTCATATAAATATTCTTCTAAATGAAAATTTATTGGGTTCTTTCAGGCCATTGAACGATGCATTCTCATAGAGGTAGAGAGAATATTTGAAGATGCCCTTATGGAAGATATCAAGGTTGATGTGTTATGGATCTTTGTATCTGCAGGTAGTTGGTTCTCCAGATGTTATAACACATTTTAATCTATTTGCTTTTGTTTCTTTCTATGCCCCTAAATTTAACTAATCTAGAGGAGAATTTCAGGTTGATTGGCCTAACTTGTTTTCTATTATCCCTGGGATTTGGTCTTTTCACTGATCTTTAATGCAATAGCCAAGAATATTGTTATCTTGAACTATTTCATGCAAATCTTATTTCTAAGCAACATCTATGATATACTACTGCAATGAAATTTTGTAAATTGTGTTTCCAGCTATTTTAAATTGTTCGTGTAAATTGAATTGTTATATCTATTGCAGGATAAATTATTACGTGCAGTCACCGGGCCGTCCGGAGGCGAATCAAGATGCGCCATGTCATCCGGCACACAGTAAAATGGTGATGTGGTGCCTCTTAATTCGCCGCTGGACAGTGTGCGGTGACCGCACGTAATAATTTCTCCTATTGCAGAGATCAAGAGATCTCAACTTGGGTGGTATATAAAAATATTATATCATTCTACTTTTTTTGATCTGTTCTTGCCAATCAACCACATTTATATAATCGGCTGCGAGTGTTTATATAAGCTACCATATTTATGGGGTCTCATCATGTGTTTTTCTTGATAGCAAAGGAATTATTTTTCTTAGAAACGCATGGATTATCCTGATTCTTATGAAGGGGTTAGTATAGAGTTTGGTTGGAGCTAGTTGAACTAAAATAAACGTCATTTTGAATTGCATGCGTGGCTTTCAAATTATGTTTATATGCCATGATATTATGTGATTTTAATTTGTAAATAATTATGTAAGAATATTGATGGATTCTGTTGTAAAATTTTAGTTAAAATGGGAAATATTAAAATATTATTATTGATGTGTAATTCATGAAATAATTATTAAAAATGGGGAAATTGAAGCTTATTAACATATGAAGTGTTTTTTTTACTGAAAAATATATATTTATGAAAATGTTTATCATGAAATTTATTATAAACATATAGAATTTTAGAATACAATTTTTACATTTTGATATTTAAAGTCGTGTGTAATGGAATAATTAATTTATTTAGCTCAGAAAATTGTGATCTAATTTTTTTCGAATAAAAGAAGGATAACTTTTGGCCTTAGCCATTTTTATTTATGCTGAGAAAACTTTTAAGAGCTATATAAAGTTTAAATCATATATATTTGAGTTCAACTTAAAGCACTATTAAAAAAAATTAATTTTTTCAATATATATATGGAACCGGGGGTATTTATCCGCTACCACCTCCCGAAAGAGGCGCTTGGCGGCGTAATTAATTTCTCGGCGAGTATACCAGCAACCAACCCCATAGGTGCAGGACTCACAGTTCTTTTCTCTCCACTTAAGAAGTTGTGCTGTATGAGAGGTGATTCGAACTTGAAATGGGGGGTTTTCAACCAAGCATGTCCCCCAACCCACCTAAGCCTGGTGGGGTATCAAAATAATTTAAAAAACACTTTTATAAAAATTATAGCTATCTCAAATAAATCATAAGAGGATCATTGGTGATTAGGTATTTAGTAGAATTAAATAGAAAATTAGGATCATTTACTAAGAATTGGATTCATTCCATTCATATTTGAACCATTAATTAATAATATGAAAACAAAAATTAAATATCTAATATATTTTATTGCTGGTAAGATGGGAAGAAAGAAAAATATTATTATTCTCCTTCCATAAGATCAAATACAAATTTAAATTCACTCATAGAGTAAGAGAAAGCCTTCAAGCCAAGAAAACGTGCACCATTTGTACGAAGGCCTTTTGATCATTATCCGGACATCTCAAGAATTTTCTCTCTAATAGGTTTTGAATGCTTGCCGGCCATTCACGCTAAAGCATTGTCACACTAAGCTTTCAGGGACGACAACATGCAGGCAAAGTAATCATGATAAAAAATTGTCTCTAATGAAGTCATAGTCTCAACTAGAAAAAATTATTAAGTTTATTAAGGGTATCAATATTTGACAAAATCTGAAATTCGATCCGTTTTCGACCCGAAAAATTTCAAGGTAGGTCAACTCGTTTATCAAACGGGTTGGATTTGGGTTAAAAAATGTGACTCGTTTTTAAAATTGGGTCGGGCTCAAGTTGACCTGACAATCCGAAATAAACTCTAAGTTGACCTGGGTACAGGTCTGCCCGCCATCTCACCCGGCCTAGCGGCTAGCATGCGGCCATGCCTGGAGTCCGTCTTGGTCCTCTTGCCCAAGCGAATAGGCCCAAATGCCCAATCCGGAATTGTCAGTCCTCGAGTGACTCGAGTCGGTCTCGCCCACGCACCCGCCTCGGCATTTCCTCCTTCAGTCTTCAACACGCAAGCCACGCGTCCAGTCCGACGTCCACCAGTCCACCACGCGACAGCCCAATCTAGCCCTAGCCAGCTGCCCATCTTGACTTGGCTGCCCTTCTTGCCTAGCCTAGCCTAGCCCTAGTCCGCTATCTGGAATTCAAAAAATAGCGGATTAGTAAGTCGTGTCGGTCAACCCGACAACCCGCACGAGTCGAGTCCGGGTTGAATTTTATGACCTGTTTGTAAAATCAGGTCGGGTTAGGGTCAACTCGTTTGAACCCGGGTCAATCCGGATTCGACCCGTGGACTCGTTTTGACACCCCTAACGTGTTTAGTCTGAACGTAGCTCGCGATCGGACTCTAATGAAATAAAATCACGTGGCTTGTACACACCCTATGTCTAACTTGTATGCATAAAATGTATAATACATATCGTGTATACAAGCCACATGATGTCCAGACTCCATAGGTAATAACTATTTATTAATCTCGATCGATATTCGCTTGATCATTTGTACTTAGATGAATTTTAATTTATATATATTTTTCCCTTATTTTGAAAGTCTAGAGATTGATTTTTTTAAAAATATATATGATTATTCCTTACTTTATTTATATATATTTTGCCTTTGATCCCTACTATTCTTCTTTGATCATGTGCAGCTTTTGAATATCTCGTATGAAGACTTTTATCAAAGGAAGATGAAGAAGCAGATAGAGATTTTGACATCTACAACGAACCCTAAAGTCCCCAAGGACATTTTCTCTTCTAGGATTTTTGACTTTGAGGACATAATCAATGATCCTCCTAAACGTCAAAAGTGTAGACAGAGCTAGCTGACGATGCAGTGGAAGAAGCTGATGCAACAAATGATCAGTCAATGGGTAAGAGAAAATGACTTTGTCTTCATACAAATTGTCATTATTAGGCTCAAAAATATGTAATTAGGTCTCTTTCTAAAATATTTAAAAAATTATTTTACTTGCCTAGGATTTGATATGAGTAGGATTTTGTAAATACGGCAAATTCGGATTTTGGAAATCTTAAAGGGCCTAAATTAATCTTGAAAACTATTTACTAACATTCATGATAAATCATATTAAATCCTGTGTGACTGTTTGGCAATAGAATAGATTTAATGAGCGGACTCTTCCTCTCCAATCAACGGATTTAGTAAATATGGCAAAAAGCAGGATTTCGGGAATTCGGGATTTACCACGAAAAGGCGGAATTTTCCTACTACAGCGACTTTCATTTGCCGTGAGATTTGGTTTTGCATTTTAGGCCGTTTGGTTGGATTTCGCTCAAATCCGAACTAAATCTTGCTACCAAATAGCCCCTAAATATCTAATGCATCTACTCTCATAATCAGGTCATCGGAAGGTCGATATTTCATGTGACCAAATCGTCGAAGATGACTCTCTCTAATCTTCTATTCCACTAGAAAAATTATTTTGTGCATAGTTTGGATGAGAAGAATCGTCTGAATGTGAGTGTATATACTGTGTAAACATTTGTATATATTGTGTATTAAATTTCTATATACACGATGTGTGCATTCACAGCCCAGCAAAGGACAATAGCCTCACGCGAAAAATGAAGCCGGCTTTAATGGCCGCACCACAAGCGCTTGCTCCTCAGGGTTTGTTAGGTGGCGACTATGGATTCAAGGGCGGCATGTTGAGTGGCGGTGGTGGATTGAGCGTCGAGTCGAGCGAATGCCCGCCAAATGCCGGTCCCAGACGGACGGAAAGAGGAATCACACAAAAGATCTGAGTGAGATGTCGAAGGGGTCAGCTTGGGCTCGAAAAAAGGAAATATATTTATTTTTAGCAATTAGCACCACTGAAAAATGCTGCTTATGGGTATCTATTGCACCGGTTTACTAACTGCCAGTATTAAGTGCTGCAAAAACTCCATAATTTTAATAATATCCGGACGATTCTTCCTATCCAAACTCCACACATAATAATTTTCTCCTTCTACTAAAATACTCAACCTTTTCACGTATAAAATTTGGTTTTAACGCGTTCATCGATCTAGCATTTAATTTCTGGAACCAGTAACGTAAACTCACAAACTTCTTCCCATTGTCGTTATCTTTAATGATGATGTCTGCCATAATCTCTTTTAATGTAAATATATTATAAATAAAAATAATTTTCTGTATAATTTACTTTATTTTTATGTGGAGCTTCTACTCAATTTTTATACTGTTCCAAATCTAAAGAGACTACATAAAATTTCTTTGTCATACGAATATACATAAAGTTATTAGATTTATAAATATAATATTATATTGAACTTATTGTAAATTAAATTAATAACATTAAAATTCATTATGTTTTTTGTTTTTTTTAAGAGACTGATGAAAACTTGCTTTGTATGTATTAATCGAACTCATGTATATAATTACTTAATTGTAATTAGTATAAGCACATGCAGACATAGCCATTCCACCATTGAGTAATCATAGCTCTTTTCTAGCATTTATTATTATAGCTGATACATACCACTAAAAACGTCGCCATTTGCTCTGATCCACTCATTAATCTTTTTGGTCTCACTTAATAATAATACACACCACCAAATGGTTGAGGACCTTACAAGCATAAGACATTAGAGATTATGATCTATTTCGATAAATTTTACATGCGATCACTATATCGTTCGAAGGGGAATCAGGATGCGTCATATTACCCGGTAAACAATTGCGGTATATAACAAAATGATGCATTAGCACGTCTTAATTCGCCTCTGGACGATGTCCGGTGACCACACGTAATAATTTCTCATATTTGAAATGGTTTTAGCATTTGTAAAAATGATTGTGAAGTTATTATGAAAAAAATAGTTTATTGACAATTGTTGAAAATATTATTAATATATATTTACAAAAAAAAATCAAACAAAACAACTATTTTCTTAAATTTATTATACATTTGCAACTTTGATTGTAACAAATAATTTGTCATCATAAAACCTACTAGAAAGCTGAAATAAATTTACTGTAATAGTAATTCAAAATTGAGGAACGTCAAAAATATATTCACATTCTTATTTTAGTGTTAAAAAAATAAAACCAAAAAGACTGTGCTCTCACAGTAGAGGGAACAAAATTCTCTATAGGCCTCTAATTAATTTCATATAAAAAAGTAAAAATTATCAAAAGTTACTCAAAGAATAAAATTTTTCCTCAAAAAAAATAAAAATAAATTATGCTCTCTGTTTTCGTCATCCACGTATTCTCTGTACCTTCTCGAACGCACACGTGGAGTGCCTTACAAAGTTTCCGTGCATGCAAGAGGAAAATAAATAAACTAAAACTGTATCTCTTGACTTCATCTCTCTCTAAAGCTAGCTATAAAAGCCTCCTTCTTCTCCATTTAGACCCTGATCAGAAACATAAAAGAAATCCTTCTCTCTCTCTCTCTCTCTCTTGGGAATCTCTCTCTCTCTCTCTTCGGCCATGGCCTCAACCTTTGTGGAGTCTTTGGTGGTGGGGAGAGTGATAGGGGAGGTGGTCGACCTCTTTGTTCCTACAGTGACTATGTCAGTAAATTATGGTGCGAAGCACATTAACAATGGCTGCCATGTAAAGCCATCAATGGCGGTCAACCCACCGGCGCTGTGCATCTCTGGAAATATCTCTGATCTCTATACCTTGGTAATATATATCACCAGCTCTATCACTCCTCTATTTAATTTGTTTCATTATTATGAATGAATAGATCGGAAATTTTGGCTAAGTTCTTTGTGGAAAGCAATGGAGTTTAAGCTTTTGTTCTTGCATGTGCGATATATAGGTGGAAAGAAGCATCTTTTTCTTTTTCTAAGTCTGATTTAATTATAATTAATCACACGTATTATTTAATACTAATTTGCAGGTAATTTAGTTAAAGTTTAGTCTTATTTAATAAGAAATTGAGTGGAACAATGTCTTTAATTAGCTATTAGTGTTGGTTGAATGACGCAAAAGTTTAATCGTAATTTGTTTAAGAAATGTGATTTAGTAGTTATTTTTAGTCACAACTACATTTAGACTTCGTTTGAAACTTATGGCTATTTTACTGTTTTCTAAAATAACTTTTTAGCACAAAAAAATTTTAGTACAAAATTTTTAAACTACAAAGCTGCTTTTAAAAGCATTAAATGCTCTTCCCTTCATTTGGGTTGGCTTACATACAAAATTTTAATTTTTGTATCAAAAAAATTGCTTTAAAATGCAGTAAAAAGTATTCCTAAGTTTCGTTTGGAATCATTTTCTTACTGTTTCTTAAAGTATTTTTTAATAACAAATTAAAATTTTTGTAAAAAAAAATATTTTAAAAAGTTGTAAGAAAAGTCGTACCAAACTAAGCTTTACTCTTATATGAATAATAGTGCAATTTGGAAATGTGTAAAAAGGTCATACAAGCAATGACTAGACATTTGAAAAAATATAAGATTAAAGATGAAATAGATCACTAAAAGATTACCTTCACGTGCATAATAAAAATAATAATACGTTTACTACAAAAAATTTAATTAGCACTAAATTTTTTGAAAGCTGCAAACAAACTAATGCCTAAAAGTTGTCCCAAACGAAATCTAAGATTTTTTTAAAGAAACAAATCAAGATAAAAGTGAGAAAGAATGAGAATATATTAAGCTGGATGAATAGTTATGCATTACTCAAAATAAGTAATTAGAGCAAAGAAGGATGAATCAATCAGAACTAAAAAAAAAAGTTCATTAAGAAAAAAAGAGAATTCGTAAAGAATTCTAAAGATTTTTTTTTTCTTTTTCAGCCATTCATTCTCTGTTTTTTAGCCTTGTTCATTACCTTACCTCTCTGCAATAGCAGAAATTATTCTGTGCGGAGGTCAAATGCAGAATGTTGTCGAGATAGAACCAATTAGAATTTGTCACATCAGCGGTACAGAGTGGTACCAAGTAGTACCGAGCACAGGTGAATTGGCGCATTTTAATTAGTCTCTGTACAACGTTCGACATCCGCACAAAATAATTAATCTAGAACAGTTTCTGTGCAAAAAATAATGAATGCCACTATTCTTTTATATTTCTCAGTCTAAGAAACTTCTAAATATATAGCACTTCTATAATAATAAATTCCTTGCAGAAACATCTAGAAGAACTTTCTTATAATTTTGTTGTGAACAATTGTTGGTGCAGATTATGACAGATCCAGATGCACCAAGCCCAAGTGAGCCCAGAATGAGGGAATGGATACACTGGTAATAAATTTCGTTTATAATAATATAATCCATATTTGATACAGTAAAGTCTCTGTGCATATAATTACTTGGCTATTTGATCAGGCTGGTGGTCAATATTCCAGGTGGGACTGATCCTTTCAAAGGTACAATACTCATCTAAATTAAGATAAGTGCTTTTTTGGAAGTTATAATATTTTTTTTTTTAAATAGCATTATGAGACAATTTAGGTTAAATATTACGTTTAAATTTTATTAGAATAATACTCAAAATTATTGTTCATTTTATCGTAAGATGGAAGGAAAAAAGATATTAATTAATTATTTATTTTTATATTATGCTGATCAGAAGAAAAAATATGATTTAAACATTTATTGTCAGCTTGATTAATTTCTAATTATCTAATTTAAACAAAAAAGTCTTCAAATTAAATCTCTTAAATTAATATCTTACGTTGCAGCAAAATTTAAGCCATAGTACAAGGTTTTGTTTGGAAGAGCTTTTCCGACTGATTTTTTAATAAGAATAATGATTAGTGAAAAATAATATATGTTTTGAAGACAATTTAAAAAATAATTTTTAAAACTGCCTGAGAAAACAGCTTTTAATAATAAAAATAGAAAACTTAAGCTATAATAATAAAATCTTATTTTGTTAAAATAAAATATCTAAAGTATTTAAGTCATAATACGATTGATGATAAAATGAAATGGAGCAGGAGAAGAAATTGTTCCATATATGCCGCCTCAGCCACCGCTGGGCATCCACCGCTACGTCTTCGTTCTGTTCCAGCAGGAGAAGAGAATAGAAGGAATGAGTCCATTGGCCAGCCGCGCCAATTTCAACACTCGGTTGTTCGCTTCACAACTTGAGCTTGGCCTCCCCGTCGCCGCCGTCTACTTCAATTGCCAGCGAGAGCCCAACAACCGCCGCCGCTAGTTTATATTTTTTAATGTTTTTCTATGTATTTCGATAAATTATTAATTCTATCCATATTCTCATCATAATAATGTATTAAGGCTTTGTTTGAGAACTTTTTTTTATTATTTTCTAATGAAGCTTTTTTTTAGTTAAAAAAAAATATTTTTTTTGGTATTATATTAATATTATTAATTACTGTGGAGGTGTACGAATTGACTGTTTAACTTCAAAAATTATTGAGTAAGCTTCCCTCAAAAAAAAAAAAAAAAAAAAAAAAAAAAAAAAAAAAAACCAGGCGGCTTTTTGATTTTGGAGTGCAGTGATCCAGTTCAGTTAGGATATCTAGAATTAAAGGCTTGAAAATTAGATTAATTTTCATTAAGATGCACAGTTAGATACTCAAGCATTAAATCATGACCGTCCAAACTGGATGAATAACCACAGTTTCGACAAATTTATTCAATAAAAATAAAGTTTCTTCCAACTTACCAAGGAACAAAAATCGATATTAAGAAGAGAGAATGTGAATGAATCTGCTGCTCATGGAAGATAAGATTATTTCTTACTCACTGCATCTAATTTTTTTAAAAAAATAATGATAGGCGCTTTATTGTCCACCGGTAGAAAATGCCTGAGAAGTCCTAAAAAAATGCACCAATTATCAATGATAGTAGGGGTGTCAATTATTGACACGACCTAACAACCCAACTCAAAAAATTCAGGTTAAAGTCAATCCGTTTAACAAACATGTTAGATTCAGATGTGCAGCTGTCGCCCTTGCTCAAACCGCACTCGAATCCCGATCTCCAGTTCTAACTTCCCGGGTTTGCGGGTCAGATCTAGTCAAACCTAGTAACCCATGTGGGTCGGGTCCAAATTGAAAATCTTCACCCGTTTAGCTAAACGGGTCAAGTTCAAGTCAACCCATTTACATCCAAGAAAACTCGTGTTGGACCCGAATCCAACCCGTTGACCCAAATCGACCCCCCTGAGTACTCCCACAGAAAACAAAAGAATGAGCTGCTGAAATAACAAGAAATGGTATTTACGCAATTGTGGTAGATTACCAATTTTACAGAATCAAACAAAATCCAATCGTGAAGATTGCATCAAAGTAATTTAAAAAAAAAAAAAGCTACCATAGTTAATTACAGAGTAAGATCTGATAGAGTCAGGGTTTAATGATGTAAATCACATCATACCTGTAGAAACTCATCCTTCTACAAATTCAGATCCACCCTCCTCTTTGCACGACTGGCCACTCTACCAATCTCTAAGATACCTATTGGTCAATTACAAATATATCAACGCAAGAAGAAGAAGAAAAATTGCAAAGATATAAACGAAAAACTTGTATGCAGCAAACAGCAGCCCTTTTCAAGGACACAAATCAACTGCATATGATGCCATTACACTGTTTAAATGGAACTTTTATTTTTATTTTTTTTATTTTATTTTTTATGTTTAAATGGAACATAGTGAGTAATACATAAGCAAATTAAGGCTTCGTTTAGGATGGCTTTCTTATTGTTTCTTAAAGCCGCTTTCTAATAAAAAATTCAAAATTTTGTATCAAAAAGTTGCTTTAAGAAGCAGAAAGAAAGCTGTCCCAAACGAAGCCTAAGAGTGGAGGAGATGCTGCAGGAAAACAGACATTCCACCAATAACAACTGAATTTCTTCAGTTTCCAATAGGAATGAGAGAAGGGCCTTCTCCAACCTTTGTTTCCTTTTGTTTCCAGAAGGCAAAATTTCATTGATGATAGTGAACCCTCAACCATTACATAGGTTCATGATCCTGCTTTCCAACTTCTCATAGATTTACCGACTCCCCTTCAATCTTTTAAATGGTGGCGATGAGAAAAGCTTTCTAACAGAAACAATAGGATCATCGGCCTGATAAAGAAGAACCAGCTAAAATAAGAATCTCATGTAAAGATGTAAAGCATCACTGAAAGTAACAAAGTTGAGATTTGTTTGAGTCTGCCGCAGCTATTTGTGAAAGTAATTATAAATCACAAGTGGAAGACAGTTTTTTGAAAATTAGTGGGGGTATCATAAGTTTTTTCATTAAAAAAAAATCAAAGTTTTTTCTTACATCTACAATAATACCAAATCTGATTTTAAAAAAAACTTCTGATCACAAAAATTGATAAAAATCAGTAAATAAATTGAATCTAAAGGGAATTGTAATAGTTTTGTGGAAAGCAAAGCTATAAAAAAAAAAAAAACTCTAAATTGTATTAAGATGTATAATGTTGGTGGGTTGTAATTTATAGAAAGATTTAAATACATAAGCCTTTCCCCCTTTTTCCCCTCACTCCAACTTGCCTCAAGAAAGAGTGGAAAACGAGGGAATCATCCCTCCCTCTTCAGCAAAATAGTGCAAGATGAAGGGTGCTTGTGGGCGTGCACGAGTTGTGAATGCTATTATTTCAAGCAAATTATACCCCAAAGAAATCACAAGCAAGAAATGCAAAACTACCTCGTCAAGCAAATCGGAAGCAGCTTCTGTTTGTTCTGGCTGTTGGAATGAATCCTTTTCTAGATCATCTAAAGCTGAGAGTGTTGCTTTCCAACCTGGCAAGTTTTTGCCTTCATCAGAAATCCAAGGGCAGAAAGGCCGGTGCTGCTTTATGGGATCAAAATCGATGGCTTGTGCCTGCTTCAGATTTCCTACGGTAGAATCAATCCATAAGAGAATTAATATTCCAAAAATAATAGAATCGATTCATATCAATAATGTGCATGAAAGAAGATGAAGTACAATCAACCTTTTTATCCTAGAAAGGACCACATTTTCATAGGACAATCGAAATAAGGCATATAAGACTATGAAGGTGTTGAAACAGTCAATCTTTCATGCTCGCAGCTCACCCAACAATAGCTTCCCCGTTGCTCCCATTAACAAGATCACTGACATCCCTCGCACACTTATTTTAGTTATTGCAATCTTCACTAATGCAATCCTTGCATTGAACTTCTTCCCACTCCAAAACCCTCGACCACTTCCATTCCAAAAACATTTTTTTTTCATTTTGCCATTGATACCAAGCCTCCTAATCTCCTCTCCGGTGTCCTCACCTAAGGAGGATTTACAAACTTATTGCTAGGACTTCTCCAACCTTTGTTTCCTTTTGTTTCAACTTTCAAGAAGCATCGATGAAGTTGGTGACCTCCGCAACCACCAATAATTATCTCAACTTTTTTTATCACTCTAGTTTTGATGTAAGATTTTCCCAAAAAAAAGTTTTGATGCCAGCATCTATCAAGGACATAAGCATTATTTCACGCATTACGAAGATTGTATTTGTGGATATCAATATTATCCTTTTAGTTTTGCTCAACTTTACTCATACAACGATGAATATGATTCATGTGTTATGATGAAAAGTCTTGGGATCCATAATAGTAAAGCATATGATGTGTTCTAGTTTGCAGCAAATTCAATAAAAAATGCACTCTAAAATTACATATAATCCACCACACAAACTACAAAAGTTCCTGACTCCTATACAATAACTGTGCCACAAAATTTTTTATCATTCTCTTTCAGGTGATAGTCCTTATAAAGATGTTCATGATGGCATTTCTCCTAATGATGATGAATTTCACTTTGAAGACACTGTTGACACTTATAGTACCTAAGGATGATTCTAAAATATCATATAAAATATAATCTTTGTTTAATGAAACGTTTAAGGCTGATAATGTTATTCAGTGAGAGACAATATCTCCTACAAATTCAAGTCAAGATCATGCTCCACTTAATTTACCATTAAGGCCACATCTTACTACTTTGGATGATTATAACTTGCTTTAGTTATATCGATCAGAGATTGAATTTGTATTGTCAGTACTATTGTCATCATCAACTCCATCGTTGGTCCACATTACTAAAACCTTAAAGGTATCAAATGTCTGGAGTAGTCAATACCTAAACCTCTTAACATCAATCTATTTTGTGGAATTCTGTCTACTGATGCTCCTTCTATTACACGGTCTCTTCTTCCGTTAGATGATCCAATGCGATTACTTACTTCATGGTCTCCGACAAACTCTTTAGTAGAAGAGTTATTTGATGGTCGGGTGAATTGATGATGGATAACTCATTCATTTTTAGCCATGAAGACCAAATTTTCATTAAGTCAATCGGAAGAAGTCAAAACAAGAAATTAAGAAGTTGAACCAGACCAATTTATATGCCATTTTATGTCCAATTTCTTTTTTTTAATGAATTTCTCTCTTTTTATTTATTTATTTTATTAGGTCCAATTCTCTTCTTTTGGACAGTTTAAAGTTTGAATTTAAATTATTAAGATAAAATTTAACTTGATTTTAAAAAGAGTTAGATCATAAATTTAATATTTATCTTATCTTTCTAATCCTATTTCTACAAAAAGGAATAAATGATGAACATTTCAATTATTTTTATTGATTGAATTAATGAAATTATTTGTGGTCAATTTATTACTTCCTAGAGCCAAATTTTTAGCTAGATCACTCCAAAGTCCAAACAGTGTAAACATTTTGTACTTTCCCCTCTCGATAAAAAAAAATCCTTCAACCTTTAAAAAATATATTCATGAGTTCATTGCCGCGTTCAAAAGGATTCAAGACAAGACTTTCTATTGATATTAATGCAATTATTCCCCTTCGAATCTCACCATGAGGCAGATTTCTTGCAAAGATTTTTCATTCATCTCTTTTGCCTCAGGATGAAGTTCCAACACATGGTTCCCCATTTGTTTATTCTTCTTCTTTGGGAGATTTCTCGTGTGTTAAATTTCACTAGCTCATCAATAAAATAGACCATCTTTAGTTTTTTTATAGCAATTCAACTCTCAGATTATAATTAGTTCCTACAAAACTTTTAGTAGTTAACAAATATCATGGCAAAGCTATCTAATGGACTGTGCCATGTTTTATGTTATTTTATCTTTAATTTTCTTTTAGTTAGTTGTTAGTGGTTAAGATATCAATTAAAGTTAGAAATTTTTTAATATTTTATCTTTTGTTTAACAAGAGTTTTGATATATAAATAAGGGACATGCTTATAAATAATACCTAAATCCAAGCTAGTCAGATGTTGGCTACTAAAGCATTTTGATTCTTGGGTGAGTAAGGATTTTAGCCCCATGATGGGTGAGGGGCCGCATCTCCTTCTTTGCATTAAGGATTCAACACTTGAGGATTTGATGACATGTTGCTTTTAGGATTCAGCGTGACCAGTTTGACGAATTGTTCTGTTTTTTTCTGTTTGTTTCTCTTTCACTCTAATTTCACCTTCATCTATCCCTAATAAACCCAGTCAACCAGCATTCTACTGCTTGCATTGCATCACAGAATGTATTAACCATTTTAATTTATTAAAATTAAGGAAATTTATCACATTTTACAATAATATCATTCCCCAAAAGATGGCTCAGCCATGATCTTTAGTGTTCATGCTTGATAAGCATGTCTAACACCGACAGTCGACATGTCACCTAGAAATTACAGAGCAAGCTAGTCTTGGAAACCATAATGAAGGGTGATGTGAAACGTACATGCGACGGAGGAATTACTTTAAGAAATTAAAGGGATCCATTGAAACTTAATAACCCAAAATAAAATTATCGTTTATAATAAAAGAGTGATCATTAGAATTCGTGGTTTTTTTAACTTGCTTAGGCAAGGATGAGCAAAAATCAGGAAACCAAACAATTTAAGAAAACGCAAAGTTCAAATTGTAAAACTACGACGGTGAACAAAAATCCACAATTTAATAATAAGAACTTTCACCTTTGGAGCCCATACGCTCAACTAATCTAGGCTTTAGCGGAAGAAGAGTCTCCACCTTAGAATCGAGGTCGCTACCAAGGAAGAAGGAACCTTGGATCGTCGTTCTTGGAGAGGTTGCCGGAATATGGAATTCTTGCCAGCAATTTCTTGAAGGTGTATTCGGCGGCCCGGGAGAAGCACGCGAGCTTTGGTGGGCTTGGGAGAATTCGGCCAAGGGAGAGACCATGAGTTGGGTGCAGGAAGAGAGGCCCACTAAGAGTGGCCGGCCCAATAAGGAGGAGAGAGAGAGATTTAGGAGTTATGAGAGTGGGGCCCAAGTTTAAGTAAGAAAATCAATTAAATCTGAATTTTAATCTCAGATTTAATTGGGCTTAAGTAACCTCCCAAGACTTAAATGAGAGGGAATTCAAAATTTGAAGTTTGAAATTGGCTCTAATCTCATTAATGGGCTTGTTAATGAATGAGCACCAATAATTAGGAAGTTTTTATTCACAGAAATTAATGGCAATTTTTCTGGAATTCAAAGTGGAAGGTGGCCGGAAGGGGTGGCTGCGGGAATCTGGCCGGCAGGTGCCGGCGGAGGCTGGCCGGTGGTGGCTGCTTCTCTGACAGGTGAAAACAGAGGGGACGGGAGGGTTGAGGCTCACGGCTGGGCTGTTAGCCGTGAGTTAGGAGGCGGTAGAGAGGTGGCTGCACGGGAGATCACCAATCTGCTGGGACGGGAGCAAGGTTGCGGCCAAAGGCATGGGGGGGGGGGGGGGGGCAATGAAACTGGCGGCCATGGAGCCAGCCCGCAGAACAAGGTGGGAGGCGGGATTGCTGGTGAGTTGGGTTGTGGAGAGAAAACCTCAGGATGACTATAATCCGGATGAAATTTCCTTGCGTTCTCACACTAACTTGATCATAAAGAAAATCGGAAGAGGTCTAAGAACTCACAAAGAGATCTAGCTCTTCTCAAAACTCACTAAGAGATTTGAGAGAGAGAGGAGGGTGAACTCACAAAGAGATCATAAGTGGAAAATATTTTTTTCATTCATCAAAACTAAAACTTACAATGCATGAGGCCTCATA